GAGTCGGACCGCAAGGGCGAAATTTTCAAGTCAACCTAGAAGGAAGTGGTACATTTATTCTAAAAAAAATCATGAAAGTTTACTTTTCCGTGCCAATTATGGGTAGTTTTATTGACAAAATCATTAGTTATTCTTTTTGACAGTTCATTTACAGAAGTGCACTTAATTAGATAACGCGCCTTATATATTTGTGGTTAAAATATTTTACCTGTGTACGTGACTTTTTGTCCTGTTCTTTGTTTGTATAGTCTATACCACAATCATATTTTCAATAGACCCAGCAAGCGTATGTTAAATGAAAAGAAAAGTAATGTTTAAAGCTATTACTGAAGACAGTATTGATAAAAGTTGTGGGAAAACCTGAATATACATCTAACCGGATTTATGAAAACCGTACCATCGGACTCCTAGAGCCCCACACCTTAAACCGACTCAACTAAAGCAAATATCGCCAAGAAACTCAGCTCTTACCCATGGTTCTCTTAAGGTGACTCTCTTCTTGGTTCCTGATTAGCAAAAGAAACATTGAAGTCCATCAAAAAGACACTCTGGCCTTGGCCATACACTCTAGCTGCTTAAAGGTCCTAAATGACAAAGGATGCTTGAGACTTAACCAAGTTCTAAGCAGAGAATTCAAGGTTAAATCACCCCCCCGACTTTCTCCCCCCCCCAGTCTAGCACGTGCTTGAGGGGAATGCTTTCATTGGCCAATGGGCCTCAAACATTACAAGAATTTGCCATGACAAACTAAAGGCAGACATGACCAGTGCACTGACTCTCCCAGAGCAAGACTAACGGAAGGTACCACGCTTTTGCAGCACCCTCCCCCGCTAGGGATTGACATGGAGGCCCCTTTCCAACCCATGGCGAGTTAGCTCAGGGACTGAGCTTGACAATGAGACCAACCAGGACAGCAAGCCCACTATGTTTTTTCTCACCGCAGTGACCAGAAACCTGGCTATCGCCAGGTTCCTGTGCGAATATTCCGGCCCGTTTTGAGGTATGTTATCAAAAATTCGGCTAGACATATAGTACCACTATTAACAGCTGTAAAAGACGATTATTACCTAAAACTTTTAAAAGAATTGTTCAAGTAATTATAAAATCGAGGGCATGAAATAGCATTCTGGTAGAAAAAAAGATATCAAATTCGTCATGTTTTAAGGGGAATAAATAATTTAAAAAAAGAATTGAAAAAGAGAAAGCATATAACATATCTAGGAGCTTTGAAGGACAAACAACCTTTGAACAGAGAGATCTGAATAATGAACAGATAATGAATGTACATTTAGGCGTTCAAAAGGGGAACATTTGGTGATTTTGTTATATGTTTTTTAACTGCAAGCTAAACTGAACCACGAAAACACTAATATTGGCAAAATGAAAAATGACGTCTCAAAACTGTTTTCTCAGTTCTTGTTCAGGTAAGAATTTTCCTGTTCTTTTAGCTGTTCTCTCTACAGGCCTGCAAGTTGGTAGAGAAAAGGTAAAGTTCAACAAAATAACTGAAGTTCGGGTAAATCAGCAAAGAACTAAAACGCTACGCTCACAGGGGCAGATCTAGAAAATTCAGAAAGGGGCGGCCGGCACACTTGCAGCTATGTAGATAATATATACTTTACGTACTGAGAATTCTTTAAAAATACTACAAAATTTCACAGAAAAAGTGGTGGCCGCGGTCAATTCAGCCGAACCAGTGAATCTTCTCATGGATCATTGGTTAAATATTTTCAACACTCGAAGAGAAATTTTCTTTCTCCTCGCGGCCATGCGATATCCTCAATACAAACCGAGGAAATCCAAATTATATTGTTTAAGAAAAGTAAATTGAGGCAAGATGATCATTTTACTGACATTTAATTTCAGTTTTTATGTTCAAAAGCCATATAGCTAAATTAAAACTGCCCGTTTTGTATAGCTCTTGAGAAGCTGACCACAATCCTGATCGATAAAATGCCATTACGTGATGGTTATTTATGTGCTATTTATATTTTACGCTTTAATCGGTGTATTTGCTCTTAAGAATTCTAAGCCTATACAATCTTAGGGACCGAGTTCGAGTTTGGTGAATTTGCTTTGAGCAAATTGATTGGCATCCAAGCCTAGAATCAATTTATCCGTGACGAAATGCCGCGCCATGGAAGAGAATAACCATAATAGTGCGCATTTTGTAGTTGGAGAGATATTAAAGTAGGTAGGGTTGGAAAAATAAGTTCTAATGAACTACTTATTCCAAACATATTTAGCGTTTGAGGCGCGTGGTCGTTGTAGACTTCTAGTAGTTTCTGGTTCAAATCCGATCGGGATAGGGTAACAATTACTCTACATCGTAGCCCACCAGTAAATAAAAAAGGAAAACTCTGACTTTATAGGGGCAACACAATTACTGATAAACCAGTTACTGCAGTTTTCACTGTGGCCCATAAGGTCAAGAATACCGACTGGCCGGACGCAAATTATAAGCGTGACTGGTGAGTTGAACTCTGGACTACCAAGAACAAATCCAGCTAATTAAAACGGGACGTGAACTCGGTACCTCCACTTAGTGCTCTTACCGCTCGACTACGCTGGCTGCCCACGTACTCGTTCTATTTATTACCGACTTTGATATTTACCTCGTAAGGAATCCACATCGTTCTGATAGACTAAAACTGTCTTACGATGCTCGTTGTAAAGGAGAAACCCTGTGATTGACTCTCTACCCATGCATGCCACCCAGGGAGATACATGTAATATTAAGACCCCCTGTTTCATGCTTCCATATGAGTATGTTATCTTCAATCTGCATTTTAAATGAAAACCCGCGACATAAATAGCCTAAGTGCGTAGCGAAAGGTTCTCAAGCGCAAGCAAGAGAACCCTTTCTTCACAGAAAATTTGTCCGAAGGCTCCGCGTTGGAGAAGCGCTGGCGAGGTACAATGTCTCAGTAGCTAATAGCTGGTAGGCATGAGTGAGTGGTGTAGACTCTAGTTTACATTTCCTTTATTCAGAGTGGGGTGAGTCACTACTCCTTTTCACAAGATCATTGCCCACGCGTAAAAGTTGTTTTTTTTTTCAGAAATTATTGGAATCTCATTCACTTCTGCCTCTCTCCTCTGAGCTGTTTTGCTACTCGGCAGCTGGTAATCTTCGTCTAATACCGAGTCTTATTCAGATTCTTGCTCAGTGATTTTTAGTCTTTATGGGTCAACAAGTTCAGTGACACAGGTTCTTGCTTTGCTTCTTTATAATGGTTAAATTCACCTAATTTCAAAAACGTCAAAGAAAAATGTAAAAAAGAAAAGATGTAAATGTAAAAGGCTAAATAGGAATAAATTTTACTAATAAACCACGTCAGGGTGAATCCATTTGCAACATAAACGTACAGCCGTCTCATTTGCTCTTGTTTATTTACTCCTCAACGACACCTATGCTGCGAACAAATGCAGCCTATAGTGGTTTATTAGTAAGCCTAATTAATTCGGTCCTATCTGGCTTTTTACTTTTTTCACTTCTCAAGTAGGGCAACGTTATTGCAAATTCAAATTGCGAAGAGTTCTGGTCTGACATTGATTACTTTTCTACCTCACAAAAGGGGAGGAGTGTTAAGGAAATTTGAGCATGCCCTCGCTTTTTCTAAATAAGGACCAGCTGGGGCCCGTTTCTTCAATGGTCCCGATAACTTTTCGGGCAAGGAATGAAATATTCAAATCGAAATAAAAAGAATAAGAGCGCGGGTCCTGGCTAGCAAAATAGTCCATTTCGTTCATAGTTATTAGAGGAGACTGGTTATGAAAAGCGGCAAACATCAATGATAAAAACAACAGTGCTGCAGTTTATGTTCAAAGCACCGTGAAAGTGCACAATCCTTTGTTTTCTGTTGGCAAATTGTTACGGAATAAATTAATGCAACGTTTTTATTGGTCAATTCAGGTCCACAAAAACATATAACAAAGGAGTCTGACGGGTTTCATAACCATTCCACTCAATTAACTATGATTTCGTTTCATTAACTGATAGTTTTATCATGTAAGATGCAAAATGATTGAAACGTCTATCTTTCATGTAAACAACAACAGATTTACGGGCCCGTTAATCATCGGGACTTTCGAGAAACAGGCCCAAGCCCCCTTAAAGTCGTTGCCCTTTTTTCTTTCTATTGCCTCATGTAAAGACGACTGAGGAAGGGACTAGATTTCTCGAGTGACTCTTTTTATCCGTCAGAAAATCAACATCTCCGTGGGATGTATTTCAGCTGCAATACGTCTGCTTTAATGGATAAAATTTCCTGTTAATAAAGGCACATTTCAGGAAAGGAAGTACTCATAAAAAAATAAGGGAGCTCCTGTATAAATGTTCGAACATTTGACGAGACTGCATGGAGGATAAGTTAGATGAATTACCCAAACTTGCATCCAGCTGTCTCCTTTATTGACTCTAAGAATGACAAGAATAGCTGTAAACATATAGTAGCCCTCGTGCTGGAGATCATAAATTAAAGCTTCATTAAAGAACCTGGCTCAAATTAATTCCATTATACTACTAAATGAGAAATTTCTGCAATTTGATTGGCTTAGACAAGTGGTATTCGTCAGCTTAATTTGAAATACCCACATGTGAAAATTACAAAACCTTTGCAGGTAGCAATATAAACAAATAATAGCATGATCCGTACGTGATATTTGGCATAAATACCACTCGTTATATTTCAAAATTGTCTCAAATTATATGTATAACAAGTTCGAAATATTACTCGTAGTGTTTATGCCAAATATCAAACCTATACTAATTTTAACCAGTCGCGTGAAAACAATTTGTACTCGGTATGACATAAGTGATTATGTATTTGCATCTAAAAGACCCAGGTGAGTTCGTATTCTGTCATTATGTCAGCAGCAAGAGAAGAAAATATCTTCTGAAATAAATTAACTAAGCTGTCTAAAAAGCAAATTAGCTTCTCTTTGGCAGATCATTGCACATTAACGTTCTTTGTTCCACCCAGTTTTGCTTCTGCTGGATGATGCTTTCATTTGTTTTGTTGTTTGTGACAACTATGGCCTGTTCCATTTTGTCGCAAGACTCGATCAGTTTTGTAGATCGAATGCTAGAACAGTCCTATGGTTCAAAGATCCGAACGTTCAACGTGTGCCCAAGAGAGCTTAACGCATCATGGCTCTTGCGACCACCGTTCACGACAAATTCTGGTGAAAATGCAAGTGAAGTACGAGGGATGTTTCACTACGTTTTTGATCTGGCTTTGAACAAGTGTTGCGCCATACTTAATGCAGGAGCCAAAACAAGAATAAATTTCAAAACACAAGCACTAAACAGATCTCAACTTCACGACCTTCTCCTTAATGATAGCGTTCATCTTATTCTTCCTGTGCAAAGCGATGAGGACAAAACGTACAAAATGATCCTGCCTTTCATCAAAATTTTCGATTCTCCTGGAGTCGTCCTCATCCGAAGATCTAATCTTACATGTGATCATTCATCATGGATCAAGAATAGGGAAATTTGGAATGCCATTAGCAGCTGTCTCCCCATCGTTGCCTTGACAATTCTGCTGTCGTTTGTAGCAGGGATATTTGTCTGGATGATGGTAAGTACAAAACATAATTTAGAAGAAGGAGAATTGTAACACCCAGGGGCGGATCCAGAGGGAAGGGGGGATTGGGTGGCTAGGTGGCTAGCCCCCTCCACCCTAGAACAGCCCCCCAAAGAAAATGATAAGTGGAAATGCGTAGATCTAAAAAAATATAGAAATACGTGGGCACCAAAAACCATGGACACCCAACGACGGTTTCCTCTTAAATGCATTGAAAACACTTTTTAGGCTATCCAGAGTACTTTTAGATCTCTAAAAATGCATTCTAAGTGACTCTAAAAAATTTATATCCGTTCGGTCATCCTAGGGCAACTTGAATCTTATCGAAATTACAAGGGCTTCAGTATTATTTTCCTCAACATTTTAGTCGCAATTTAAAGTTTTACGAAATTGGGAATTCTTCTGATTCCTCTCTGCATCGCATTTTCGATTCCGAAAATTTAAGGTTTCCTTTCCTTACGAAAAATAGCTTAACCTGGGGAGTGAAATGGGAAAAATTTAACTTCAGAAAATCGTAGGGAATTTATCAGATAAGCGTCGAAAATTGTACATGAATGAAACGGTCATCTAAAAAGTTTTAGCTTTCCCCAAGCTATAGAAAATTCTAGGCAATTTTTTTTAATTTAGCTTAGTGAAAATAGTAACTTGAACGCTATTAGTTAATTCTTACGTTTCATAATAATGCACTCATCCGGGGGAAATATGCAAAATACGTCCATAATAGGCTCCTGGTGTATAGCAAAAAAAGTCACAAATGAACAAGCTTTAATACCGTTCGCCACCATAACATTACCCAGTTTATGCAAGTTAATCTTAGCCGACTGATCGAGGAGGACTTGTCTTGTTAAATTCAAACAGGAAACGAAGACCAATAACGAGGAGTTTGGCAGGCCGTTTTATCGCGGGATATTTGACGGCTTCTGGTGGGCTTTTGTTACCATATCAACAGTTGGGTAGGCACATCCGCCTTTCACCAGCTTTTTGAGCAAATCTTAGATCGACACGCACCTGTCAAAAAGGTCAAAATTCGTAGCCGTCCCAACCCATTTATTACGCCTGAAATACGCGAGTTAATGAGAACAAGAGACAAATGGAAGAAACTGGCGCATAGATCTAACGACCCTCTTGCCTGGGCAGGATTCAGGAACTATAGACGAGAGGTTAAACGTGAAATCAGAATAGCCGAAAGAGAGTTTGTTCGGGATCAGATCGCAAATAACCAAAATAATTCTTCGGGTAACTTGTGGAAAACCATAAGATCCATCCATCCTTCCTAGGAAATCGTCAAGTCGTTTGGTATATAATCAGGATGAGGAATCTGTTGCAAACTCCTTTAATGAATTTTTTACCTCAGTTGGCCGAACCACTGTTGACAAAATCAAAGCACTTGCCTCTGAATGTAATTACGATCTTACGAAAACAAACTTTGTCCCTACGCACTATCCATTGTCTGAACAATTTTCATTCCATTCTGTTAATTGTAAGCAAGTTGAACAGATCATCGCATTGTTACCATCAAACAAAGCACCGGGCTTTGACAACATTTCTGTACGTGTAATCAAGGATGGACTGTCAGTTATTTTGTCGCCGATTACTCACGTCATCAATGCCTCTCTTACAAATGGCGTTTTCCCTGGAGGATGGAAACAAGCAGAAGTAACGCCTATTCCAAAGGAGGGAGATCATGAACAACCTTGTAATAACAGACCGATCTCGTTATTACCGGTATTGTCAAAGGTGTATGAAAGAATTGCGTTGAACCAGCTGACGGCATATTTAACAACAAACAACCGTCTTTCTGCGAAACAAAGTGGAAATAAGAAATTTTATTCCACAGAAACGGCACTTATCCGCTCCACAGATGCCATTTTGACTGGCATGGATAAGCAGGAACTCTCTGCTATGGTTTTGTTGGACATGAGTAAGGCATTTGACGGTATAAATCATGATATTCTCCTTTTAAAACTACAACATCTCGGTATTTCTAAATACGCTCTCGCGTGGTTTACTAGCTACCTGACCTACAGACACCAAGTCGTGCGTATTAACTCGACCCTCTCGAATTCGTTGCGTTTAAATAGTGGTGTCCCTCAAGGAAGCATTCTTGGGCCGCTTCTTTTTAGTATTTACATTAACGACTTACCTTCTGTTCCTAGAAACTGTTTAACGCAATGTTACATAGATGACACTAAACTTCAGATTTCTTTTAAGATGAGTGATTGTCCGACTGCTATGAACGATCTAAATAGCGACCTTCTTTTAATACGTAATTGGTGTTTTAACAATTTTCTACTTTTAAATCTTGACAAAACAAAACTCGTAGTCTTTGGAAGCCGACAACTACTTGCCAAACTCCCCGACTTCAAAATATCTCTTCTAGGAAAAGATCTCGCTCTTACATCTTCGGCCAAAGATCTTGGGGTTGTTTTAGATCCGTAACTAACGTTTGATGACCATGTTCTAAAAACTACGTCATCTTGTATGTCAAGCCTCGCACAAACCAGTCGGGTTAAACATGTTCTTGACCGTAACCAACTGGTGACAGTAATAAATGCACTAGTCTTTAGCAAATTACTGTACTGTTCCACAGTGTGGTCGAACACCTCGAACAAAAATATCTGTAGACTACAGTAAGTGCAGAACTTTGCCGCGCGCATTATTACAGGTACCAGGAAATTTGATCATATAACCAATTAAACAAAAGCTGTTCTTCCGCGACGCTCTCATGGCATTTAAATGCATGACTGGTCAAGCTCCACATTACCTCAGCGATCAATTTACAACAAGAATTGCGGTCACCGGGCGCGTGACTCGAAGTTGCCAATTATTAAACATCCCCTTGTATAAGTCGAGTACCGGACAGAGAACATTCCACTACCGCATGGTGCACATTTGGAACAATCTAGACAGTACTCTTAAAACTGCAAAATCGATTTCTACTTTTAAATTTTGTCTGAAAAATAAGTTGATTACTGACTTTTTAAATAGCAGGTTATGATAGTATTTTAGTATCTTACTAGTATCTTATTTTATTTTAACTTAAAATATGCATATTGTATAGTACGTAGTGAGAATATTTATTATACGATTAATTCTTAAATAGGTATGTTTATATTGCTTTGTTCACCGCATTCTTTCTTTTTAATCGAATTGTTAACTACTTCTCTTATCTTAATTAGTTTTTTTTTTTTTTTTTTTAGTCGCATTGTCACTGAAAAGCCCCCCCAGGGGAGTGTCAATAAACTATTGTATTGTATTGTATTATAGGAATCTTTGCTGACGTCATATACATTTTTGCTCATTAGCATACGAAGTTACCCACAGAAGGCGTCACGGCATGCACAAATTAAATCCAAACGTTGAGAGAGTTGGTTAATTTGAGCAATTTGAGCAATTTTCCGCTCTTTGCAAGCAATAACAAAGGAAATAACTACGAAATTGCTGAGTGGCAAAGCCTTAATGAGCCCATATATTCTTTGTAAGGTTTCGAGGCTTTCAAAGATAATTTCTCCGAAACTATTCGGTATATCTGGCTCTTTTTTTTGTCATAGATAACTGAAATTGTGATACTCTTTTGATATTCAGAGGGTTTATTTCAATAGCTTGCTCACAGAATGAAAGGCATATGCTAACTGAGGCAAAAAAATGTAAAGAAAGATTTGCCTATTAAACAGTTATAGGTTATTGCCTAATTTCAAACCGAGAGTGGCTGGGTCGAGTCCGTTTATTTATAAAATAACTGAGATAGTACGCGTGATCTGATTGGTCAAAAACCTATGGTTTATTATACCGGTAAACCCATAGAAAAAGGCATCCGGACCACGAGCCATAAACAAAACCGAAGTTGAATGCAGGGCAAGATTAAAAAACTTCCATTCATCAAACGTACTTTGTATCTGTCCCTCTCTTTTCGAAACCTATCTTAAGAAGGCAAAATATAGCATCTACGAAAAACTCTCAAGAGTTTTTAGCGTCCCAGGTTTCCGTTTTGAGGAGAAATAAAGCCACCAACTCCAGTACTTCTAACCGTCCATTTTTCAGCTGCATTGCCAGGAAGCCCTTGTACTTGGTAATTTATTCAAGCTTTTTAGACTTGACATCGCATTCGCGCGGCAAGTTTGCCGCTTGGCGATAAAGATGAAGAAAATATGACAATCGTCTTATTCTTTTCATTATCCCCGGTGGCAAACTGGCCGTGCGAATGTGATGGCAAATCTTTCAAGCTTGAATAAATTACCTAATACAAGAGTTTTCGTTACAGCTGAAATTTGATCGGTTGAAGAACTGGAGTTGGTGGCTTTATTTCTCCTCAAGACGGGAGCCTTCGGTCCTAAAAACTGGTAGGAGATTTCTGTAGATGCTATATCTTGCTTTGTTGAGATCTTTTTAGAAAAGAGAAGGGCAAATACACGGTAACTTTTATAGATAGATGTTCGTTCATCTTGCCCGCATTCGGCAAGAAGTTGTTCTTCTTGCATTGCGAACTTTATTCGCCGTAGGTTTCTGATTAGCCAGTTTCTTGCAACTAAAGCTTTGGGCAAGAATACCCTTGCAGATAGGAGATAGTCCGTCAGCAGTTTCCTCTATTTGCGTGTCAAGTTTCACAAATGTGTTAGCGTTGCATTTTAAGATTAAGTTTGACAAGACATTTGTGCAGCGAGTTCTACGGTCACGACTGACTTCAAACTTACAGTAATAAAACTAGAGAGCTCTGAAGCTTATTTTTTGTAAAAATGCGGTTTTAAACATATGCTGATATCTCAAACGTTTTTATACCTACAAGAAAATAAATAACAGTTTCTTAAAGGTCGACCATTCCTTATTAAGGATGCCAAAAATCATAGAAATCGGTTAAGTCTTTCCTGCCGAAAAACGCGATTTTAAAACATAACCAACGCGCATATAATAGGTTCGGGCCACAAAGAACTCATACTGATTCAATATTTTTCGCGCTTATTCCAAGAAAGCGTGACGCAAGTATAAAAGTTGCTGTTTTTCCAGTCTAAACCAAGAGTGGATAAAGAGCTTTAGTATATACTAAAACAGTGGATAGTGTTTTTCGCGCGCTCTGATTGGCTGCTCAATCAGTGAATATCCTGCACTATTCACTGATTCACCTCCAGTTCCTCCGAGCGAGCGACGCCAAACTCGCGTAAGTTACGAGCAAAATGCCTTCCCGGTTTGCTGCCGTAACAAAAAAAGAAATTTCACAACTAATCAAGCAAGCTGTTCCCGAAATACACGAAGAAGGAGACGAAGTTCGGTTTGGAAGTTTTAGCAGGTAAAGCTTTCTCTGTTTGACTTGAATTTATCGATAAAACCGGTGAAAAAGTTTTTTGTTTACAAATGCAAATTAACCTTATTAATCTTGCTTAAAACTACATATAATAACCTTTTTTACAAAATGATTTTAAATAGAAAAAGAATTCACAACTCCTTTTGAAGAAATTTCCCCGCAAGAGCTAAACAAATGCCTTCAAAATTTTTATTTGTCGACAAGAAAAAGCGACGACCGCGGCCATTCGGTCATTGCGCGCCAAAATTGTAATCATTGGCAACAGTAAATGAGTTGAAAATCATTTTTGTGCTCAATTATCTCACTGTTTCAGAATATACTAAAACAATTATTCACCTCAGGGTCGGTGGCTAGATCTAACTTAACAGCCTAGTGTAAAGACAACCATCATATGATTGATCTGCAGTACACAAGTAATAATAAATCAAGGTAATTTCGAAAAAAAAATAACAACTCTTCTTTCTTCAGTCGGTTTTTGGTGACTCTGATGACGATGTTGAGAATAACAACAGACATAAGTAGAACCATTTTCTCAGTAGATAGCTGAAACGTTTTAAATTTTGAATGCATTTTTTCTTGAAGATACGGCGACAAGACGCCGAAGTCTGTAATTGCCCGACTGTTTGCTGTGGGATGGATAATGATTGGTGTCACCATCTGTTCACTTTTGGTAGCCACATTGTCTAAAGCTTTGACAAGCGTTACAGTGGAGAGATTTGGTGTGGTCGCACAAATGAAGGTTGGTACAAAATGCAATGAGGAATTTCATTTCTTGTCGACTTGATGTTAGCAACGGCCTAACGGGGGAACAAGGATGGCGCATTGGAGACAGCACATCACACGCCACCCACTAATGTGGCCCGAGTTCAAACCCCGGCGTCGACACCATATATACGCTGAGTTTATCGTTGGTTCTTTTCTTAGTTCCGAGAGGTTTTTCTCCGGGTCTTTCAGTTTCCCCCTCTCCTTAAAAACCAACACTTCCAAATTCAAATTCAATCTGGAACGCACGGACATGTTTCAACGAGTTCGTAAGAACTGCTACGTGCATGCTTCTTGGGTAAACAATAGAGAGCAATGACAATCCTCCTTGTTTTATAGGTTGGTGCCACAAGAGATAGCATTGGTTTGCAGAAAGCGGTGAATCTTGGTGCGAACGTAAGAGGTGATTGTCTTTTGCTACCAAACTATTCCAGAATATTTCTTTAATTCAAAGAGACTCACAGTGGAAGATCTAAGTTAGGTATACTAGCCGATTTTATTTTATGTGTACTCAGCTTTTGAGGACCTTAATGAGGCCTACAACGCTTTGATCAATGAAAAGTCGATAGAAGGAGTGATGGAGGAGGTGTTCACAACCACGGAATATATCAAGAAAAAGAACAATCCATTGTTTTCTGTTGTCCATTTCTTTGAAGAGAAGCATGGCTATGGTGTGGCATTCAAAAACAATCCTTTTTGGGAAAACAGCAAACTGGACAAGTGCATGAAGGATGTCGTCCAATTTGTAGTCAACGATGATAAATACGCTGTTATGTCCAAGTTCGTTAGTAAAATCGAGGTATGATTTCTAGTTCAGTCATCTCAATTATACGATACAAAACCCACCACTGGTGGCACTCAATTGATAAAAACCCCGGCATTCATGAAAAACAGGTCTTAGTTAGGTTAGTTGTAGTTCGCTTTTGTTTAGAGTATAGTTAGGTTATCTATAATTTTTATACTCTGAGAGATCTTACCTTGTTTGAATAAAGGACTATTCTCATTATTGTCTAGGAGCGGAGCCTCTCCGTATAAAATTTTGTTGAGTAGCCTCCACGGGAAGGGGGGATGGTGTGCCGGGGGGCGAATAACCAACGTGCTTAATGAATAATCCAGAGAAATAAATGTTCCTAAGGTTTGTGGAATGCTCCTTAGAACTATTTCCGTATTCATAATATTTCTGGCCACCCTTATTCAGATAAGAAATGATAATAGACACACACAATTCTAAGCCCTTGTTCCAGTCTCCAGAGAGCACTAAGCTTTACCCCTTTCACAGGCAAAAGCGTTACGGTTAATATCTATACCAATTTCAGACCAAAAGGAGTATAAAAACTAAACCCCTTTTATTTGTTTATTTTGTGGCATAAAGTACCTATATACACTGAATAACTTAGAGTAAGTGAGTATTCCCCCTCCGGGGAACAAGTCATAAAACAATTAAAGCAAAGCTGATAAACATGTCGTCGTTACCAGGAGCTGTAATTGCTCATTTATACATCAGGAAGAAGAGAAAGAATGTGAAGGAAAGTTTCTTTCCTTCACTGGGAAAAAATCGCGATGGCAAGGCTCAACTGTTTATTGATTGTTGTTTACTGACCATTGCTGATGCATTGTCATCAATGGCCAAGAGTCATCTAAGGAGAGAATTACTTGTGGAGTCCCCCGGGGCTCAATTAAAGGGCCACTTTTGTTCCAAAAAATATTAACCCACTCTGAGTCCGATAGCAGCGCATGCTAGTCATTTTCGTCTAGACGAAAAAATGGCTAGCTGAACCTGTCGACACAATTGGCCGAATTTATACTAGAGTCGAGTTATCCGTCTGTCTGGACGGATTATCCGTCAGACGGATAATTCGTCTAAGTATAAATCCGAAGACGAATTTTGCTCCATAATTTGTCTAGATATTTTAAGCGGGAAACAGGAAACAATGCGAAAATATAGAAACCAGTCCCCCTAATGTGAAAACTTCGTCAAAAAACCGTCTACGTTCCGTCTAGATATAAATTTAGAGACGGATAATCCGTCTAAGACGAATTATCCGTCTGCTAGCACGTCTATAAGACTTGCTAACAGACAAATCAGCCTCAGACGAATTTTGCTCCATAATTCGTCTTAGCACCGAATTTATACTAGAGACGGATAATCCGTCTCTAGTATAAATTCGGCTAATGCCCTTATCTCCTTTCCCGTTAATCCAGGCGCTAATAAAACTTTTTTGATTAACTGCTCCATCTTCAGAATTCCAACATTGATTCTGGGGCAAAACAAGAGCAGCAAGGACTAGAGGTCAACAACATCTTAAGTGATCTGAAATCACAAATGTTTATTACAGTTGTCGTTGGCCTGGGTGCAGTCTTCCTGGTGTTCCTTGCTGCTTATATCTGGCATAAGTATTGCAAACGCAGACGAGAGAACACGGCCGAAAATAAAGGCCATGTTGGTGAAACCGGAGAATTTGGGGGTAAGTGCATGAAATATCATTATTGTAATAACAGCATTGAACGTCCAATTGTTTAAACCAATCATCAATTTCTGATAAAAAATATTCTATTCTAAACGAAAATCCTCCGAATTCATTATCCTATGTGTATCCTAGATTAAACTGGTTGAAAATCCTACTAGTATCACGTTATCATCACGTCTTTGCAAATCTTTTTGAATTTTTTCTATCTTCGTGAAAATCCTTCCCTGCATTTGATCTCGAAGTGGACGAAAATTTATTTTTTGACTAAATTAATGCTCATTATTTTTCAGGTGAAACTATCAGTGGGAAATTGCCAGAAGAGAAACGGTTTTCTGAGATTTTAAAAACTGAGTCTGTATAGAGTACCTCTTACAATGCAGAACGAAATGTAACAAGTAGAAAGTGCACCATTTTAAACCGCGATGTTAATTGCTAGTGTGTCCTATAAATGGTAACGTCTGTTTAGGAAGGAGAAAATTGTCTCGTCTCTAGAGAGTCCAGAGAAGATTTGTTCTCCACCGCCTCCATCATGAAAGAGAGTAGACCCGAGGACCAGGTCCGGGGAATCAACCATCTTCCCGCGCAGAGTATATTCAGCTGAGGTCACCTGATAAGTTGTCAGCCAATGACAGTCGCTGGTATATCTGAGTCATGTGCTGTTCTTTGCTTGTATAGTCTGTACCACAATCATATTTTCAATAGAGGCAGTAAGCGTATTTATGTTAAATAAAAAAGAAAAATGATGTTTATAGCTATTACTGGGGACAGTATTTTGGGATATAACGAGTTGTGGGAAAACCTTAATATACATATAGTACCACTATTAACAGGTGTAAAAGACGATTATTACCTAAAGCGTTTTAAAAGAAATGTTCAAGTTATTGTATAATCATAGGCATGAAATAGCATTCTGGTATAAGAAAAAAAGATGTCAATCACGTGTTGTTTTCAAAGAGTAATTTTCATTTACTAAAAGGTATTAATACCTGCTTTCGTATCCGTTACATTAATATTTTTCTTTACAGACTTTAAATGCGTTGTGGGCTGGATCTTAGAAAACGACAAAAGCTTAATGAATGTACATTTAGGCATTCAAAAGGGGAAAATTTGATGAATTTGTTACATGTTTTTTAACAGCTTTTAGCAATTAGTTTGAAGCAGTTAGCTAACTTTTTCTGCTAAACCACGAAAACACTAGTATTGGCAAAATGAGTTCTTGCTCAGGTAAGATTCTCCTGTTCTTTTACCTGTTCTTTCTACAGGCCTGCAAGTTGGTAGAGAAAGGCTAAAGGCCAACAAAATAAATTCAGGTAAATCAACCACGAACTAAAACGCGACGCTCACAGGGGCGGATCTAGAAAATTCAGAAAGGGGCAGCCTGCACACTTGCAACTATAGATAGTACTATACGTACTGAGAATTCTTTAAAAATGTAATACAAAATTTTGCAGAAAAGGTCATGGATCATTGGTAAAATATTTCAACACTTGAAGTAAAATTTCCTTTCTCCTCGCGGCCATGCGATATCCTCAATACAAACAGAGGAAATCCAAATTATATTGTTTAGGAAAGTAAACTAAGGCAAGATGATCATTTTATTGACATTTCAGTTTTTATGTTGAAACGCCATATACCTATTAACACTACCCGTTTTGTATAGTTCCTAGGATGCTGACTACAATTCTGATCGAAAAGATACCATTACGTGATGGCCATTTATGTGCTATTGGTAGTTAGGCTTTAATCGGTGTATTTGCTCTTAAGAATTCTAAGCGTATTCAATCTAAGGACCAAGTGCTATTTTAATACGTTGTCAATTGCGGAACTTCTGTTTAAAAAGCTAAAAAGAGTTCTCCTAGATGGACTTAGTGTTGCGTTAGTGCTTTGGCTTCAAGGAAGAGAACGCCATTTCCACTTTTCCTGAATCAATGATACTTCTCTTGGGAGCTGTAGAATTAAAAAGAACATTTATTCTTAGACTTTTCTATACTACTTCGCGATGGTAAAGCGCTGTGTGATGTGCCATATCAAACTGCTTTTTTGCAGACAAAATATGTCGCCAAACTACTAAGTTAGACTTTTGTACTCAGCAACAGTGAAATGACTGAGATGGCATATCGACCTGACCTACTCCTAACCAGATGACTAATAATAATAGTGACAACAACAACAACAACAACAACAACAACAACAATAATAATAATAATAATAATAAATAAATAAATCTACAGAATACTGTGATATGTTACAAATATATGTAACCACTAAATTAGATTTATGTACTCCGCAATGGTGAAGTGAATAAAATGTCACATCGTAGTCAAACCTGCTCTACTGCGGGTGGAAAAGCAAAATTCTATTTTAAAAAAGTTCGGTGATATCATGAAAGACGTTATGTCAATCAAAATTTAACTATCTTGCTAGATTGCCTTTTCGTAATTTAACGGGAAAGGATTAAGAGTGCATTTGATGAAGTTTTAGTAGGGAGCTTAAAGCAATCACGACCACGATGGAAGTAAAAACTTAGTAAGTATGCCGAATTTGTGTCCTCCCAAATTTCATCTTTTTTATTTAGCGTCTGGTAAAAAAAAAGCTGCTATCTTCAGAAATAAAGAAGGAGAAAGAAAAAAATTCGTCGCCGCGCGTTCACGTCCTCCGTAAAACGTCGCGTTAAAGGGACAGTGTCCCGATTATGCGCACGCGCGAGCGTCATCTGTTTTTTCTTCAAAGACAATAGAACTGTCAAATTGACTCGACAAGATTTCCTTCCGGACCGCACCGCCGACAGAGATTTGTTGTTTATATTCTCAAGTAATATTTTAGACTTTCGAAGAAGTCTTTTGTCTTATATAAAAATTTGGTTCGCGGTTCGAAGACTCATCGCGATTTTATCGCTAGCTGGGCCGCCTCGCGACCCGAAAATCTCGTTCCGCTCGCTTAAAAAACAAATTTTCTAATTTGAAACTCGTGTCAGAGGTCAATAGCTCCAAGTCCAGTAATATCTGCCTGATTTGCTCGCGTTCTAGCCTGAAACGTTTGAAAGACATAAATAAAAATGCAATCTCTACCCTATGAATCATCACAAAGATTAGTCAAAAATGATATCATGATTTCATGTCACTAGTTTTTCAAAACATGTAGCGCCTGTTTGTTCGATTTTGTCGGCCGTAGGGAGATTCATTTAAAAGTTTACTAACGCGTTGTTGCAAAACATTCTGTTCACGAAGCTCCCCTCCACAAGATCTCCTCAGTCACATCAATGTCTCAACGGTTTCTTTCTTACAGTCTTTATTGTTGCTGTTTCATTTCTGCGTATTCCTTTCACAATTATCTGAGCTTGTATGGAAGCTAGCAGAAGAAATAAGCCTTCAATCGGCATCAAAGTGGTTCCAATCTTTTGGTCCTCCGGCCAACGGCAATAAAAGTAACGCCAAAAAAATCCAGATTTTGCCCAAATCGAAACTTAACAGGAACAATATATCATTGATCTATAATCCTGAGGAGTTTTAGTGTCGTATTGAATCCGGCCAAGCGCGATGCAAACGGATTTTTCAAGATTCTCTTACTCTCCTCGCATCTTTTGATTTCGCGACATCCTGTCCAAAAATCAAAGTTTGGTGCATGCGCAGTAACGGGATACTGTTCCTTTAAGAAGTGAAAAAAGTGCCAAAAAGTGTGATGCACGTGCAGAGTTGTTGCTTTTTCACACATAAAACCATTTCTTTTTTGACGTTCTGGCTGCCCGCGTCTTCGTTGCAGCTGCTTAAGTTCCTTATTGATTGGAATCCGAGTACGAACCCGCCCCTAAACCTCTCTCCACAAAGGTCCCCTTGAAAAGATAGCGCGAAGGGAACGTCGAAAAGGGAGAAGGGAGAAGAAAAATCTCTTCTATGCACTCATTATTGATGTAACAGAAGGTATTTCATAAGTTGTCACATGACTGAATATTTGCCTCTGAGGATCTCTTTATAAAGAGGAGATAGGCCTGGGAGGTGGTTTGCTGAAACCCACTACACTTACTTGTTAGCCTCTTTTTCCTACACTTTGCAGCACACGACTCGTAAAGGAAACCCGCTATTAACAACGTGACAAAGGTTGTCAACATTGCGTGAAATACAGTCCAAAATCCAGGCGAGTTTCCATCCAGTAAAGTCGCGACACTGTCTTCGTCTTCATCTGATATTTGACGGCTCCTGGTTTCGGTCTAAAGGGAGGTTGAGATGAAAACAAAAGCAATGTTTAATTTCTTTCTCTTAAACCTAATCACTGCTCGTAAGTCTCAAAGCTTCGAAACCGCGTATTTTGGACAAATCCGTCAATGCAGTATGTTGGTGTGTCTCCTCAGTCTTTTCTTTCCACTCAGGCTGACTCAAGCCGTTCTATTTTGCCACTATTTGCCTTGAACTTGACCAACACAAAAATATGCCAGTTTAGCAGATAAGGGGAGTGAATACCACCCAGTCCGGCGGTCCAAAAGGTTATTATTACTTCCTTAAACGCATTTTGGCAAAGTTTATTCACAGAGTACAGGAGCCCAACAGCCTGTTTCTATGGCTACGAGATATGACGTAATAGGTGGCATGACGTCAAGCCATCCAAATCAAATCATCGCTTGTATAACATATTTTTCCTACTAACGTTGCGGGAGCCAATCAAAACACGTGCAAATTGATATCCATTGATTTCGAAAGCCTTATCTGACTTCAGGCGCAAAGACTGAACCTGAATATGTGAATGCCTAAACTCTTTGATCTTATCAAGATTCTAGTCGACAAATTTTTCCATGACATTTCAAATCACGCATCACCAAAGGCGGGAAATTGCTCTTTGTTCTAGCTTTTAAAGCTCTATCAAGTAGCATAGTTGACGAAATAACTCCTCCTCGCTTATAGATACCATATATACTAGCCCACTGATTTGAGTCGATGTTAATTACACATGACTTACATGTAATGCTTGCGTGTGTCGAAGGATAATTTTTTTGATGTCTCGCTGTCGATATTTAAACAAATCCCTAAGACAATCAGAAAGGAACTCAAAATCTGGTCTTCCAAAGGCAAATCCGATTGAGCGCTGAGAAGTAAAAAACATGGTGACTGCTAACCGAGAGTCTCCCACTTTGTCCATATAGTAAGAAGCTGTGTAGATGTCCGCCAAGATTCCCTCTACCTCTTCTTTTACCACGAGTACATCGTACATTTCGTTAAAGCTGGTATAATCTGCAGCATAGGAAATAACTAAGCGTTCATGAGTCAGGTTGCATTCCAATTAAATTAAATACCAGAAATGTGCTGTTAATCCCTCTACGCTGAAATCCGCTCTTTCGATTAAATACGATTAGCTATGGTGCGAGTGTAGCGAAGCGAAGATGGCGCTCTGCAGAAGATCAACAATAGGCCCTTTGCAGGTAGCCATTCACGTGGTACAAAACCGCCGTGTTGGAGAGCAAAAGTCGCACTGGGACAAGACAAACAAAAGGCATGCATAATTCTAATTGGTAATTTCCTTTGCTTGTCTTGTCCTAGTAAGGAAGGCTTTTGCTTTCCAGCATGACGGTTTTGTACCACGTGAATGGCTAGCTGCAAAGGGCGTATTGGTAGTTGACGCTCTTCTTGAATTTAATTTAAGTTCCGTTTACTTGGTCAGGCGATTTAAGCAACCTGGAGGACTTTTGTCTGGTAGCCCAGTAGATTACTCCCTTTAATTTGCATCTAGTCTAATATGGTAGATGTTTTTATCCCAGTTTCGGCGACAATATCCTTGGCTTCTACCATCTAATGAAACCTGCGAGGGGCAGAACTTTTGCGTAGAATTATAGATGTCTTAGGATCTTGCAAAAATGTTTTTAGAATTTTTTTCCAATATTCTTAACTGGCCATTTTTAAAGAGTACGATTTGATCATCTGACGATAAACGTAATAATCTACAAGTGTTGTTTATTTCTCATTTTGAAGTAAATTATTTATTTATTTTTTTTATCAATGCACGGATACGTATAACAACGTCTCTACCGAACCTATTCAGACTGGGCTTTTTTTGCTACCTGCGACCCCCGGGGAGCTTCTGATGTCCCCCGCCTATAACTTCAAACCGCTCATTCTACGGCCACCAAAATTTCCGCTGAATAACTTACTCATTATTTCCAAAGTCTAGGCAAAGCTTGATTGACGCAACGACTAAATTTGTCGTCATTATGTTGTCATATTTTTGAATTTATTGCCAGGATTCAATTTTTCCTCGAAGTAGCCATAAAGCGAAAAATACTTAAGTAGTAAGATGTTTCATAAGATCGAAAAGTTAGTTAACACTGATCTACAATCTTAACAATAGTAGTGATGTCATGATGACGTCATTTATTGTTTAAAAAAAAGGACTGGAACCATCCATCCCTTGGATTCCCGACATTTTGAATCAATTAAATTTGTTCAGTTTTACTTAAAACTCGTATGAATCGAGATAGCGGTAGAAGAAACTCCGATCTGTGTATAAAAAGATGCTTAGGAAGCAAAAAATCTGTAAGTCATAAAATTTCTTGAACAATGTTGAGAATTCAGTGAACTTAGCATCTGGAATTTGGTCTTTAGAATTCACGTTTTCTTTTTTTTTTTTCAAATCCGATCATTAAAAACCCTGGATTACATTAATAGTTATAATAAATTTGTTAAAATAATGCAAAACTAAGTGTAATACAAGAAATAGACTGAGGTAAAACTTTTAAGTGCAGAACAAAAGCAGAATTTTGAAAAATACCGGTATCGCTGTCAAAACTCGATTCCATGGTAATGTCAATGATGACGTACACGTCACAATGACTTTAAAATATTCCCAGATAAATTTTGGATGAAGTAGTTAAGTTTGGCGGTCATAGCTTGCACCGTTTTGAAGGCTATTTAACATTTTAGTAGCGGGGAGGAGGGGGGGGGAGTGGTGGGGAATGGAGAAGGGGACTCAAAAGACTGATCAGTCTGAAAAGGTTTAACGACTTTTACCTTTGACGTTGGCAGCCTGCTTCAAAGCTTTCTCGTATGCATGACTGTCTTCCAATACTGCAACCTGGGTGAACTTCAAAAGTTAGCTTAGAGCCTTAACATTACTGAACTCAAGGAAGCCTTGTGAGATATAGAGGACGATAGTGGATGTGCATTAGATAGTTCCCAAGATGACAAGAGAGAATGATTATCGATGATTAACAGTTCTTGATGTTGAGGGATATTTTAAAAGAGGTTTCAAAGACATAATAGGACAATTTACTCCCTGTGAGAGGTTTCTATTAAGGATCTACGCACGCCACGCCAATAAATTTCTTTGTTGCTTTGTTGGCACTTATAACGTTAAGAACCTTTCCAATATTTTCTTTGGAGGCAACAGTTAACCCTATTCAGACCGGGGCGGGGGTCGCGAAAAAACTTGAATAACTTCAAAATCGCTCAAGCAGTGACCACAAAACTTATCGACCTTTACTAAAATTACCTTGGGAACATTTTAAAGTAGTTGTGACGTTACAATGGCAAGCAAGTTTTGGCATCCACGTCTTTTCAAAATTTACAGATTTTTTTCTTAAAAATAGATTTTAAATCTACTTTTCCCAATGCAATTATTATATTACACTTAAATTATTATTATTTTATCAAAGTTATTGTCACTGTTGAGGAAATCCAAGCTTTTTGTGACTAGTTTGAAAAAAAACATGAGTTAATACGACCAAATGCCAGAGATGGTAAGTTTAATTTTCAACAGCGCTTAGTTCTCTCGGAATTGCACATTGTGCAGTTATTTTGCTTCCTTGGCATTCTTTCATACTCAGATCAAGTTTTCTCTTAAACATCCCTCGATTTATATGCAAGCAAACTGAAATACATTCAATGTTAACTCGAAATGGCGGATCCAAGATGGCGGATACTTCCAGTTCCTATTTTGGTATAAATGACGTCGACATCATGGCATAACTGCTTTTGTTAAAGGTTATTTATATTTTAGCCAACTTCTTGACTTTCACCTTACTCTAAGTATTTTTTCGGCTTTATGTCTACTTCGAGGGAAAATTGGATTCTGCCTATAAATTCAACAATATGACGTTATAATTACATTATTGCGTTGATCGAGTTATCCCCAAACGTTGGCAATGATGCGTACATTGTTCAGTGTAATTTTGGTGGGCATAGCACGAGCGGTGTTGAGGTTATAGAGGGGGGTCCTCTGGATTCATGAAACAGAGGTCAGGTATGGAAGGTCGCGAGTAAACGTAAAAGTTGAACGTTGCTTAACTTTCACGTTTACGTGAGCCCTTTCAAAAACCGCCTCTCTTATATTACTTCAAAAAGAGTTAAAACCATTACTTTTAAATAGCTTTTTATTTTTGTTTGTGATTTTTCCCTTACCCTTCCGTATTTCGTCCCACTTCCGTTCAGTTATTATTTCTGACTATCGGAAATAAACAACAGACTATCCGTGGTAGTACTTGGAATAAACCAGTTTTAAGCATGTTGAGTTTGGACATGCCTAAGGGTGCAATTACGGACCAGTAAGCTGGATCTGGATTTATATAAGACATAAGCAATTGGTCATAGCGATAGTCAAGAATTACACGACTTAAATGAAGCCAGGCATCGTGCTTAACTATTCTTACCCAACTGTTGTCATGCTCACGAAAGACCACCAAATTCCCTCCATCACGCCTCGTGTGAAAGAGCCTGGAAAGTGATCAGGATTTTTAGATGTATCCTGGAAGTTAAAGTAAATAATTTGTATAAAATTTAAAGAACCCTATATTTACAGAAAATGTCAAATTAAATATTTTTCCAATGCATCAAGCTTTTCACAGTGTAAAATTTGGAAGAAAATTAAAAATTTTTTAGTTCGCTTCCTAACTACAGTAGGACCCCGGTAACTCGAATTCGGATAATTCGAACTCCCCGCTAAATCGAACTAAGTCCCATTCCCGAAAAACCAAAATTCAAGGGCCTCGATTCCAGAGAAATTACATCACTGCCAGAGATCAAAAAAGTAATTTACATGGCACGTCATTTCAATCATCGCCGAAAATGAATCGTATGCCCATCACATGACCGTTTGCGTACAATGAAAGTTTACAACACTCGACCATCGCAGTTTTGCCAATTAAGATTTTTTTTTCCGACTACTCAGTAGTGTTCACTTGTTCCAAAGTAATCAACGCTTTCAAGCGATAGAATTCGTGGACCGGCACGTTTCGGAAAAGCTCTATATTTAATCTTTCCTAAACATGCGTGGCTTCGATCACGCAACGAGTCTGAGTCCCAGCCTCCAAGGTCTCCGCACGGAACGCCTGGCACAATTACCCCCTATACGACGAAAACGATGATGAAGAAATGAAATGTCTTATCAAAACTAAATGATGAAGAAGTAGCTTCTTCTAAAAAAACATACCCAATTCAAGACTGGAGTGCAAAAACCATATCGTATCTCAGACCAAAATGGTCGAAATTAATTGATACTTTATTTCAGACCAAAACGGCTAAAAAAACCATACCCTTTGGCGCCTCACATACCTATATAGCCTATATAAGGGAGGTACCCCCCGGGGCGAAAAATGCATTGCAGATTATGAGTATCGTTGCTTACGCAAGCGAGATTAATCAGTGCAACGAACAGATCACGCTTTTGCAGTCATCCATTTCCATGTATTATCATAAAAATGCCTAAGCGTGTTACAATTTCTGATGAGTCACTTAATTTGCACTCTGCTGTATATTGATGTGCTGAGATACAAGTAAACTATAAAACATGGTAAGTTGAAGATTCAATCTGTTTTTCGTGTCCCTTCAGAGTTCGAGTTACCGGGGTTCTACTGTATTGCATTAAAATACAACTTCATCTTTAAAGAGTTCTTAATTTATGCGAAAAACAGTAAAAGGAACTTGGAAAAGACAAGAGTGTTCTTAACCATGTCATTACTGAAACGTAAGGCTCCCCATCCTTTCGTGATAGCTTGTCAGCTAGGTTTTTCAGAATCGAAATAACTAACATTCAGCTCCCATTCCGTGATTCGTACCAAAAACCAGAGAAGTAAAATTCCCCATTTTCACTTCAAGGACACGCTGTTGACACGCTCTTCCGGTTCCCTTGTTTTTTAAAGATTGTAGCAGTTGGCTTGTTTTGGCTTTGGAGCTAACATGCGTTCCTCGAGCATCGGACAGTATTTATATTAGTAACGAAAGAAGTCTGTTTGGAAGTAACGTTTTTAAAAATCCAGCGAGACATATAATCTATAAGTTCTTGCTGAAGAGTGTGTAATACCATTTCAGTCTGGTTTTTTTTTTTTTTTTTTTTTTTCAGATGAACGAGTTTTGTTCTGGGTAGGAGCAATATCAGTCTGAAGGCGATGCATTTGGGAAATATTGAAGATTGGGGGAAGAGAATAAAAAGAAATATTGTAAATAAAAAAAAGAGAGAGAGAGAGAGAGGGAGGAAGTACCATTGCAAAATTGTTATTTAAAAAGGTCGTTCGATAAGTTTAAACATTACGATTCCCAGATGAACAAAACGTGCTCTTAAGTACTAGCTGAAATTAAGGAAACAATATAATATAAAACTATTATTCTAGTATTGATTTAACAGGTGCAATGGAAAATATGCGTTTTTAAACGCACCTAAACTTAAACGAACCAAGCGGCGCCGACTAGTCGACAGTGTTCGTTTTCATACGCTTGAAAAACGTTTGTGACCCAGTCGTTAAGTATAAATAGCGGAGAACGATATTGGTTTCGTATCAGTATTCAGTTCGGTGAAAAAAGCAATATTTTAGCTTAACTTAGAATCACGATTCTCAGTTTCTGCGCATTTCTCTCAAGAAGTCAATACGAAAGGGCTTAAGAAAGGAACTCTTGGTTGAAGCCGTCGCCCTTGGCTCAGTTAGCTCACTGTAAACAACGCGTTTTATTAGTTTCTTTTTTCAAATTAGTCTTTTAAGGATGCCCCGAAATTGGTGGCTAAATCTAAAGCTTACTCAAGGAAACCAGTCTTTAACTTCTTTAACCGGTAACACTTGTCAATTCAAATTTTAAAGGTAGCTCTTTAAGGGCCACTATAATCGATTTAAATTCCTAATCCTTAGATGCGGAAGTCGGCGAACTGAAAGCTTCAGCTAAATCCAGAATAATTGGTTTCATCTCTTAAAATGACTTCTTTTTAATTTCTGTCGCTTTAGATTTTCGTCTCTGCAACATAAACCATGATTATAACTAAAGATCCTGTTGTGAAAACAGTTTTACAATCGGCTACGGTACTAAAGAGATTTGCCTCACGTGTCTCGTCAAATTTGTTTCCCCAACTATTCATGATTTGCAAATTTAATACCTAGTCTATAGAATAACCGAATTTGACAAGTCCTCCATCCACTATTACAATACAAGATAAAAGACTCCAAAGGGGCTTTTCTCTCCATATAACCACCATAAATTAACATATTTACCTTCCGTTTACCGAAGTAAATAAAATCTCTCTGGATTATTTTTTCAGTTATCAAAATTATGCACACTTACCAGTCCCCAGATCAAAATCCCAGCAAATCCTGCCAAAAGTAAGGTTAAAATAATAACAGGCCAGGTATCTTTCATGGCTTGTAAGACGCGGTTTCGTAAATGTTTTGATGTTTGCTGTTTATCTACTATGAAAACAACACCTGGCGATTTCAAGACCTCTACGTACGTATGCCCTCCGTAAGAACCATCTCCGCTTCCTTGCACGGGTAGCGCCAGATCTGCTTCGTTTTTCACAATGATTTTATCAAGCTGTTGTAGATTACCAGCTTTTTTCATGAAGTTGATTTTAGTAACGGGTAGGCAAATCTGAAGTCCCTTGGACACAATTTCCTGAAAGATGCCTGTCACTCTGAATCCAGTCGGATTGCCGTCTTCGTCTTTGTTTTCCTGTTTACTTTCTTGGTTAATACCACTGCTATCGTTCGTTGCGTTCATTGCTTCTCCTGGCTGTGACGAGGCCAATCTTGTTATATTTTCACTCTTTTCTAATGGCTCTTCGTCAAACGTGACATAAGGCGGGTTTTCCATCCAAGAGATAACAACTGAGTCTGGTGGTGGTTCTGGTGAACTGAACTCTACACGTAAACCAGGATAAGGTGGGGTTGGTGGAGTACTGTTAGCTTTGAGTTCATTCAAAAGAGTCACACCAAGGAAGTCTATCTCGAACGCAGCCGAAAAGCCGATGGATGGCAATAACAGGTAAAGTACCAACCGTGTTTTTATCCACATTGTGTTTTTCTTCTTAGTTATTGCGTGACCTTAAAACTTGCTGATACTCCAAAGACTACTTGGAATCAGTTTCCTTCTGTCCCGGCTAATAACCTTTCTAGGCCCGTTGAACGGAAAATACACAGAAAGAAACTAAAAAGGTTTCTTCTAGCATCCGGGAATTCTAACTTTATACAACATTTGAAAGGGCGGTTCTTGACAAAAGCGCATGCGCAAAGAGCTCGACGGTATAATACAAGTACCAATCTCGTTCCCAGAGGCCGCGATCCTTTTGGTCAGCGACGGGTCCCGATTTTTCCAGCGCATGACAAAAGGGACCCCTGGGGACGAGGTTGTCGAAATGTGACATGCCTCTATTTCAAGGTTTTTGACAAAAACCAAACCAGCCATTGTCTCGATATTTATCCCGGTCCGCTGTTTTACCAGTCGAACAGAAAAGGATGTTAATTTTAACCCAATTTAAGCTAAAAAAGAAATAAAAGACAGCTCAGAAAATAAACATGTTCATGGTGCCCGGGCAATTCTTGCTCAAAGAAATCAATTATGTTAATTACTTCGGGAATAATAGAACTGTCTTGTTTGCCGTCTTGTTAACTAAAACACAAGCGGGGTCTTAAATAACTTCACCTCAGAATTTTTTCCTCAGCTAAGTAATTACTTTACGAGACAGTCCATTGATACGTTGTATGGTTTTAAGAAACATATCCTTTGTGAGACTTTTTCGTCGCCTTTTTTTTTCTCTCCTGTACAAAAATTGATACTATGCGAAAAGATCTTGCAATGAAAAATAGTTCAAAATTGCTATGGTGCCTAAAAACGTGTTTAATTATTTTATCTGCAAACTGAACATTAAATAGTAACTTAGCTGCTAAATAAATCTTTTGCCAGTTTTGTTAAAAACCACCTCAGGTGTTCACGATAAAAGGTTTTCGGGGAGCTATTTTCAGTTTTACCACCATAAATTAACACTTTACCTTTTAAGTTCCCATTAAAATAAACAAATTTTCTGAAGTTTTCTTGAGTTCATAAAATGAGAAATTCCGAGAATATAGTCTCAAGTAACTTGCGAGCAGACGGGCTATATTTTTCTGCGGTATAAACTGCCTTGCGAGAAGTCGAGCAGTTTTCAGAAAGCTTGCATTTATTTAACCGCTTAACCGGTGATTTTTCACATAGGCTTTTTTTTTTCAGTTTTCACTCTTTCACTAAATATACACCTAACTGCAATAATATTGTCATAGAAAAATTCCTACGGAAAAAAATAAAAATTGATGTAAAAAGGCAAATAGGAACTAATTAGGCTTACCGGTAAACCATTATAGGGTGAATTTATTGGCAACACTGACGCGCACTGCCCGGCGTCGCATTTGCAAATTGGTTTTTAGTTTTGTTTTTACGTCTGGAAAAAAAAAAGGAGAGCTGCAAATGAACGCAGCCTATAGTGATTTATTGGTCCTTCGTTACAAAGTTTCAGACGTTCTAGTAGTTTTTCTGGGCACTCTTATTTTATGTTGCCGTGAATTCCCTAAGGCCTAGAAAAAAATATTGCCCCTCTAATTTTCCATCTACCATACGAACGCATGATGACGTTTTGTGCACGACTTATAACTAATCATTGCTCTTTGTCGAAACTCGAAGAGGATATTCAGCTTGGTGATGAGCAGTGGCTCTCACTATTATTACTAGAGATTTCTTCCTGAGACAATGCTCGTTGGGCAAATATTGGTAGATTTTACAGTTATACGTCTTGTAAAAAGTGAATTTAGGTGCGTCACCTATGTGTTGTGCGAGACACTTTGTGTCACACAGACAGGAAGAAAGTGTCCTCTGGCTTTGTTACACCTGTCTCTAAAGACGAAAGAGGTGGATTATCATCGAAGCACGGGACAATTAGTGTTTTTTTCAAACATAGTTTTATGGTTTATTTGCTAAGAAATGTAGGTTGAGCAGCAAGTCCCGTCCGAATGTTATGACGACACCTGAAGAACATTTCTTATAAAGGCTGAATTACCCACTTAGTTCTTCTTTACAATATTTTGACAAAGTCATGAAAAAGTTGCTTTAGTTAACAGCATCATTAGCTATTATCTTGGACGGTTACTATAATTGTCTTATGCCGACGGGTGTTATTTCCTGCAGATGAAACATCGATATATACATTCGTAGGTGGTAATATTGTACATGTATTTTAGGTAAACACTGTTATCATATATAGCCTTACGGCTACGCAAATGAACACCATTTCTCTGTGATCATAAATTAGCGTTAAAAACATTATACGGAACGTCGTTTTCAATTATAAGAACGGGTAACTAGTCACGCGTTTGTAAAGAAATTATGGTGCTCCGTTATGTAACTGTAAATCAAAAAAGCATAAAAACTGACTTCATTTTAGAGTATTGTAAATTACCCACACGTAGAAAGGGATTCGCTGAAACATAACTTATTACAATTTGCGGGGGAGAAACGTAAGAGGTGATTGTTCTGTTTGTTTGTTTGTTTGTTTTTTGCCACCAAACTATCTCTAATCTGTCTGCAATTCACAGAGACTCTCGCAGAGATCTTAGGTATACTGATAAGTTTTATTTTATATGTACCCAGCTTTTGAAGGCCTTAATGAGGTCTACAATGCTTTCATCAATGAAGAGTCAATAGAAGGAGTGATGGAGGAGGTGTTCACAGCCATAGAACAAATCAAGAAAAGGAAAAACCCATTGTTATCTGTTGTCCATTTCTTTGAAGAGAAGTGAAGCATGGCTATGGAGTGGTTTTTCAGAAACAATCCCTTTTCGGGAAAAAAAAACTTGACAACTGCATCAATGATGTTGTCCAGTTTGTAGTCAAAGATGATAAATATGCTAATATTTCCAATTTAATTTTCGTCGATGACATTGAGTTGTGATACTAATTATACGATAAAAGCCCAAACACTGGTAACCCTCGATAGACCTTTTTCACGATTCCCGCCATATTTGCATGCGCTTGACCATGCGCTTTAGGATTGATGGGATAGAAGTAATGTCACATGTGCTTTCAGGGAGCAAACAGGTGATAAAATTTGCCAAGGTAGTTAGGTAGTTAGGTGTCCACAATTAGTTTACATTCCGTGTAAGCTAGGCATTTGAGACATCAATAAAGTCATTATCATTATTTTTATCATTATTACCTCAGCGATAATTTGTAATTTCACATATGAAGTTACAAATTTCCGTACGTCAATTACAACCCTCCGTACGTCTCAGTGTCAAGATGGCGACGAAGTTTTAAAATGCCATGAATGAAGACGCCAGGACATGAAAAGACGGTTTAGAAAACCTGAACACGCGATAGAGCACAACACGTATTTTGTCGAAAAATTCTGAACTTAAGCCAAATTTAAGCTCTAAACGTTCGAGAGAGTGGAGTTCTCGATCGATATCATCCCGGATAAACATGTCAAGAAATCCAAGATTGCTAAGGTAATTCGTCACCAAGAGAGAATGAGTTACTTATTAATATCATGGGTGACGAATCACCTTAGCAATCTTGGATTTCTTGACATGTTTATCCGGGATGATATCGATCGAGAACTCCACTCTCTCGAACGTTTAGAGCTTAAATATGGCTTAAGTTCAGAATTTTTCGTCAAAATATCTGTTAGAATCCTTCTTATTGTGCTCTATCGTGCGTTCAGGTTTTCTAAACCGTCTTTTTATGTCCTGGCGTCTTCATTCATGACGTTTTAAAACTTCGTCGCCATCTTGACACTGAAACGTACGGAGAGTGGCCATAGCAATTTTGTAATTTCACATGTGAAATGGTGTGTCAGAATTCAACATTCGTTACTTTTTAAAAATGGCTACCAGCCGTTAGAAAATCTCAATCTTTAACCTCAAAGTGAAATTTTGACTCCAATACTGCAATCCCTTTGTAAATGAAATTCATTCCTAAATTATGAGCGGAACGCGCTGATCAAAAACACGTCAACAACAGGAGCCGATTAGTATCGGCTGCTGGCGCTAATTACTATGATGGTTGTCAAACTTCAAATGTTTGGGGGCGAAACATATCACGTTCACGTGAAAGTAGACCACACGGGTCACGGAAACAACAGACAAAAATAAGCTACGCAGCACGCGCGCGAACTTAAAATACATTTTTAAAGAATTATCATGGGGCACAGGGATTCGCTCTCTTAGCTCATTCTCTCTTGTAGGTAAAAAGTGTCGGGAATTTATAAGGATTTGGACAAAACGCGCGTGAAGTTATCCCCTAATTTCACTCGTCACCATTTGATTACACATACTTATTATTATGATGATGATGATGATGATGATGATGATGATGATAAGAAATCGCGTTTAAGTTTTTTGCCTCTAGAGAAACTACGTGACATTGTTTTAATCCAATTTACGGTAGTCCTTAAGCGAGTGCAAAGATGTCGGGTATCGTGAATAAGGTCTGACTATTGCTCAAACGAGCCAGGTGAATAATCCAGAAAAATTTTGGTGAGGTTTGTGAAATGCTTCCTGAAACTGTTTGCGTAATTACAATAATTCGGGCCAACCTAATTCAGATAAGAAATGAATGATAAAAAGACACCTAATTCAAGGCCCTTGTTCCAGACAGCACCCCGGTCACACGCAAAAGCGTAACGGTTGATATCTATACCAATCTCAGATCAAGAGGAGTAAAAACTAAACCCCTTTTATTTTGATGGTGCATAACGTATTTATTATAACTTAGAATACCGTATTTATTCGAATAAGCGCCCAACCTCGAATCAGCGCTCACCTCGAATAAGCGCCCATCCTAAAGGCAGAAAAAGTTAATAAGCGCCCAGCCTCGAATAAGCACCCACCCCCTCCTCCTCCCAATCAAACTCAAATAAGCGCTCACCCCCACCCCACCCACTTGAGTGAATAAATTCTAATAAGAGACTTCCCAGAGGAAGGAGTTTTCTTCAGAGTATTTTACAGAAACCTTGCTTTGTTAATTCTTTGCGTTTTGTTATTAGCATTTATTGTTTTGTTGCAAAATAAACATACTTCACTTGCTTAAAATGGTGAAAATTTAATAAGCGCCCAGCCTCGAATAAGCGCCCACTCTGAAGGTCCAAAAATTAAATAAGCGCCCAGGACGGTTAATCGAATAAATACGGTAAGTCAATATTCCCCCTCCGGGGAACAAGTCATACTCAATTAGCGCAAAGCCGATGAACATGACGTCATTACCAGGAGCTGTAATTGCTCATTTATATAAGTAGTCATAGAGGGATGATTTACTCCTTGTCGATGCCTTCCCCTACCTTCCGTGTGCTTTCCCTCTATTAAAATTCATAAGGACCTTCCTGCATACTAATTAGGTGCCTTCCGTATGCCTTCCCGCATACTAATTAGTGTCTAGTTAATTACGTCACCCCTTTACTGAAGCCTGGCTAAAGGTGCGTTCCTCCATACATAATAAGTGGATAGTCATTTCCTGCCTTCCTGCGTACTAATAAGTGGATAGCCGTTTACATGTTAATAACTGAACTTTTCAATCGAAACAAAAGCTTTGCCTAAACTTTCCTGGTGTCTTCTAACCCTGATTGGCTCATGTCAAATCTATTGTGTGTTCAAAATAAAAGCGGACAGGTTTTGAACGCGCTACCCTTCTTGCAATCGCTTTGCTAGGAAGACAAGTATTGGTTGTGTTCGCTTGTTTCACGTTCCGTTAAAGTCAGTTAATCATGCGAATTAGGGAATGGTGCCGACATTTGCATTCAAATTAGTTCTATAGTCAGACCCGAGGGGCAGTCTTGACTTATTATTCTAAAAATACAAAACAATAAATAACTTAATATTTAACGATTAATGAATGAGGCTGAGTATCTGATGAAGAATTATGGAGATCGAGGTGGATGTTATCCGTCGAGCCCGTAGGCAGAGGCGGATAACACCCTCCGAGATCTTCATAATTCTTCATATGATACGAAAGCTGAATTCAATAATTGTTTTATTATTCATTCAAAATAATTCCTAGTTTAAAAACATAGCTAAAACAAGCTTACCTGCATCGATGTTAAGTTTATCTTCGATAGTTTACGTTTAGGTTTGTCCAGCTCCGCAAATATTCTCCAAATAGCAGATGTCGTCCTCCGAGTTGTCTTCTTGCTGTTTTTGCTATGTTTTTAGCCATTATTTCGCCTAGTTCCAGCTGTAGCTCTTACTCTTGAAACGAGTCAAGTGTCCGCCATTTTAGTTTTTATAACGAAAACAACTCAATCTCCTCCCCAGGTCTTCTCGGTTAACGGTGCATTAACCTGTAGAAGGATACATTTTTGACGTCATTTCCTCGTTAAACACAAAATTCTTCCAAAATTCTTGGTCATCAGTAACTGGTTATGGTGAATTATGTGTGTGCTTTTAGCCAATCAGAATTAGGGAAATATTTTGAATGAATAATAAATAGATTTAAGGCCTGTTTACGTGTAGGTGAGGGACCCCAAGTAGGTGAGGTAACATGTGGCGAGTCACCCCACCCATCATGTAAACGTGATCAAATTATAATGAGAGATTATATACCTCACCTACCTGGGGTCTCCCACCTCCATGTAAACAGGCCCTTAGCGAGGGCTAAAAGCGAAGCTGCCATTAATGAATTTATAATTTAAATCAAACAATAAACTTGTAATACACAAATCAGTTGACTTAAGGGCACATTCATGTGTGAGGGAAAGGCTAAGAGATTTTAGAGTGAAACATCTTACATCGAGTTGATAGCATTATATGTACACCCAAAAAATAGCAATCATCTTCCATCACATTCAAGAGCCACGATGGCCCTTGATCACAGTAGATTAGGCCTGGAAAACAATTTCTTGCAAAACAGATCAGGCCGAATTTTTTGCTTTCGATAAGCTTACTTTACAAAATCTTGCCAAAAAATCTGGCGGTGTGTAAACCAACCTTTTATACTTTTCATACATCACACCTGAGGTGAAACAGTATACACTTAATGTCAGATCCCAAGGGAAACAGTTCAGCCTCCTCCTCAGGCGCTTCGTTTTTCGCATGGCAGAGGCGAGGGCGAAACGAGTGACTGGTGATGAACCGCAAGGGACAATGGGAAGGGTACAGACGGCAGGCGAAGCGCCTGCCAGATCTTGTGTCGTTTTCTTGGCAAAAAAGTCGTTTTCTTGGCACGGCCCAATTTTTGGTCTTTTTAAGTCTTGGAAGCGATCAATTTTAGTAGCATATTGCTGTAAACATTGTAAACTTTGAGTAGACAGGTGAATGGCTCAAAATTTCAAAACCTGAGGTAGAAATAACCGACAGGCTGCAAAGGAGTCGGATTCTGCTGGATTCTTACGAATCGAAGACCTCTAACAAAATATTTGATGACTTGACGGTATCGGGTAAGTCTTATATTTTAGTATTTAACTTGGTGTTTATTGCAGAATCCGGATTAGTAAAGTACAGCGCCGGCGACTATGTTTCTATTTTTCGCTCTTTTAGGCCAAATCCACCGAACAACGAGCAAGCAACCTTGTGAATTGAAAGAAGTGCAAGCCCTAGCTAGATTGTGCAAGGTCAGGAGTTGATTATCAAGACCACATTATGTCCTTTCACCAAGATTTAAGTCTGCGACGTTACTAACTATGAAACCAGGGACAGATGGATATATTTCAGTTGATGCTTTTGACAAAATAAATAAAAATGCAGAACTTGTTGAAGCTTAAAATTACCTAACTCTCGGTATAAGATCCCTAGATAGTAGTAATAGACGAGGGGTTCTACGCAGTGGTGGAGGTGGTGGAGTGACGTCACAATAGCTCAGGGGATTAAAATGATGAGATCATCATCTAAAAATAGAAAGGTAGTCTGTATAACAATCTAGGGAGTTGACGTCATCAAGAAACGATAAGATCATCATCAAAATAATCATTTAATATAGTAAGTGGTGAGATGACATCATCAGCTTAAATTAGATAGGGTTTTTTTGACATGATCAGCTATTTTCTATAGTCTATGACATCATTATTTATTTTTATCTTTTTAAGATGATATAAATGAAGGTTATTATTATTAATTATTATTATCATCCAAAACGAAAATGGGTATTATTCAGTCTTTCATAAGAATAAAGTTTAATCATTATCGTATGATCGCGAGAGCCATACTTCCCCCTCGAAAGAAATAACGTCTCTCAAGAAAACATTTTGCGACCCACCAGCTGAAAGAACTCCATCCTGAAGTATTTCTAAAAGTTAATTTGGGCAGACACTTGGTGTTCTTGAAACTTGCAGAGGATCTGGAACTGACGCAAGAAGAATGGGGACAATTATATGCTGTTAGTTATCCCACTTTAATATATCAAATCTGAGAGCAGTTTTACAAGGCGATGATGTAGGCAGTAAAATCATTTAAGACTCGAACATTGCGAAGTGATTAGAGCGATGGGTTGTTGTCCACCATCGGCCACTTTTGGACATCGTTAGTCAGTTAATTATGCGAGTTCGCAAGCCCACCGTTGCATACAAATTAGTACAGCTCTGCAGGAAAAGCCCCAAGAGAGAACCTTCAAGTGACTTATTATCATAAGAACAATAAAAACATAAAATAACTTAACAAGGATCAATTGAAACACGCGACTTACAATTGCGAGCAATAAAGTTTAAAACCAATAACAAAAAGAGTCAAAATACACAGCGATTTGAAAGGAAAAGGAATGAAAAGTAATCCTTTGACTGACTATTACAAATTCGTTTTCTCCGTTCTATTACGAAGAATAATGAATAATCCTTCCTTGTCTACACAATTTTCCTATAGCCTCTAAGCCGAGAGTTCGACTTTCTTTGTTTCTTTCGGTTTGTCTTGTTCTTTGTAGTTGTTCTTTTAGCTTTTGCTTTAAAAGAGACTTTATCATGTTTATTTCTTCGTGATCTTGACAGTTCGTACACCGTTTCTTGTGTCTGTACTGGACTGCGAGTACTAGTTGAGTGATTTTTTCCGGAATTATCCGCTTCACTTTCGTAAACGACAACTTTAACTTTAGGTTGCAGTTTCGCCTCTTGTAAATACTGTCTTCGCTGTATGTGGTCTAACTGATGAACATCCGCGAGATGGTTAGCTAATCTGACAAGGTACTTCGCCCCGCACCATGAAATCGGACAGTTTCTGCAAACTCTCTTGTAAACCATGTTCAAAAACCTGTTGACAGTTCTATGGCTGAACACAAATGATTACTATTTCGCAAATAGTCAGGTTATACAGAGTATTAGAAAAGCCAAACACAGGCCCGAAAGGCCATAACCAGGCCAGAAAGGCCTAAACCAAGCCAAAAGGGACAAAAGGAGACAAACGGGCCATTTTCAGTCATGTGACTTTTTTCTCGTACACACGCGTGGGTGTCGCGCGTCGCTAGTCACGCAACAGCTTTCAGTATTGGAATCATCATCTTTATTAAGTGTAATCACAAATAACAGTGCCTAATTAAAAAGTTTTGTTCTTCCTTTAGTAATTGGTATTTCAAATTTCAGATTTGCTATTTATTGCACAAGTTTACTGTTATTGGTATTATGATCAAGTCATCAATAGTTTGGTTGTTTACAGTTTTTATTGAAATGCAACAATACAAAGGTCCAGGGAATAAAAAATTTTGTAATTCATAGCCAGTCTAGTCTTGATATTCGTTTGGCTCTTTTACCTTCGTTTGGTCTTTTTAGCCTTGCTTTGGCCCGTCTGATCTTCTAAATAACTGGTCGATGTAAGTTCGATTATTATTTAGCTTAGTAACCCCGCCTTCACCCATTTTCTATAAAAGAGACGCGTTACTTTCTGATGTTTGGTTTCCTATCAGAACGCGTGTGGTTCAAACCAAAAAGATGTGGAACAGTGACCTCCATTACAACCTTATTCAAAAAGGTGCTGGAAATTATGAAGACAGCGAAGAAAGCGAAGAAAGCGAAGTCTCTAGCCAAGGAACGGAGTCTTCCCAAGAAGAAACAGAAAGCTTAGAGCCTTGGTCACGCATATTTGATGAAGCCGAGAAACGCCATGAGACTCAGCTCAACGCATTGATCAGTGAGTACGAAGGGAACGGAGATTCAGAAAATGTGGCCCGCGTGAAAGCCGAGAACGCTCTTCTTCCTGTTTACAGAAAAGAGCTGAGAAAAGTACTCTTAGAGAATCTACAGTGGATGCGTGCAATGAAAAAGGATCCCACCTTCAAAAAAGTGATGGAAACTCAAAAAGAGCTTAAAGACACAGAAGGATTTGACTAGTTGGAATCGACAGAACTTGCTATCGATAAGCGAAAATTCTTACTAAATCGATTGTACCAAAAGCAGCCCATTCCAAAAGATCAAGACTAGACCTACTATGAATGTTACAGAATTTTTTATTTCCTGGACCTTTGTATTGTTGCATTTCAATAAAAACTGTAAACAACCAAACTATTGATGACTTGATCATAATACCAATAACAGTAAACTTGTGCAATAAATAGCAGATCTGAAATTTGAAATACCAATTACTAAAGGAAGAACAAAGCTTTTTAATTAGGCACTGTTATTTGTGATTACACTTAATAAAGATGATGATTCCAATATTGAAAGCTGTTGCGTGACTAGCGACGCGCGACACCCACGCGTGTGTACGAGAAAAAAGTCACATGACTGAAAATGGCCCGTTTGTCTCCTTTTGTCCCTTTTGGCTTGGTTTAGGCCTTTCTGGCCTGGTTATGGCCTTTCGGGCCTGTGTTTGGCCTTTCTAATACTCTGTATAACCTGAATATTTGCGAAATAGAAGTCATTTGTGTTCAGCCATCGAACCGTCAACAGGTTTTTGAACATGGTTTACAAGAGAGTTTGCAGAAACTGTCCGATTTCATGGTGCGGGGCGAAGTACCTTGTCAGATTAGCTAACCATCTCGCGGATGTTCATCAGTTAGACCACATACAGCGAAGACAGTATTTACAAGAGGCGAAACTGCAACCTAAAGTTAAAGTTGTCGTTTACGAAAGTGAAGCGGATAATTCCGGAAAAAATCACTCAACTAGTACTCGCAGTCCAGTACAGACACAAGAAACGGTGTACGAACTGTCAAGATCACGAAGAAATAAACATGATAAAGTCTCTTTTAAAGCAAAAGCTAAAAGAACAACTACAAAGAACAAGACAAACCGAAAGAAACAAAGAAAGTCGAACTCTCGGCTTAGAGGCTATAGGAAAATTGTGTAGACAAGGAAGGATTATTCATTATTCCTCGTAATAGAACGGAGAAAACGAATTTGTAATAGTCAGTCAAAGGATTACTTTTCATTCCTTTTCCTTTCAAATCGCTGTGTATTTTGACTCTTTTTGTTATTGGTTTTAATAAAGTTTTTTAAAAACTTTATTGCTCGCAATTGTAAGTCGCGTGTTTCAATTGATCCTTGTTAGGTTATTTTGTTTTTATTGTTTTTATAATAATAAGTCACTTGAAGGTTCTCTCTTGGGATTTTTCCTGCAGAGCTGAACTAATTTGTATGCAACGGTGGGCTTGCGAACTCGCATAATTAACTGACGAACGATGTCCAAACGTGGTCGATGGTGGACAACAACCCATCGCTCTAATCACTTCGCAATGTTCAGAGTCTTCAATGATTTTACTGCTGACATCATGGCCTTATATAACTGCTCTCAGATTTGAGATATTAAAGTGGGATAAATAACAGCATATAATTGTCCCCATTCTTCTTGCGTCAGTTCCAGATCCTCTGCAAATTTCAAGAACACCAAGAGTCTGCCCAAATTTACTTTTAGAAATACTTCAGAATGGAGTTCTTTCAGCTTGGAAACTGTTGACCCTGGGAGGTCGCAAAATGTTTTCTGGAGAGACGTTATTTCTCTCGAGGGGGGAACTATGGCCCTCGCGATCATACGATAATGATTAAACTTTATTCTTATGAAAGACTGAATAATACCCATTTTCGTTTTGGATGACAACAATATTTAATAATTATAATGACCTTCATTTATATGGTCTTGAAAAGATAAAAAATAAATAATGATGTCATAGACTATAGAAAATAGCTGATCATGTCAAAAAAACCCTTTCTAATGTAAGCTGATGATGTCATCTCACCACTTACCATATTAAATGATTATTTTGATGATGATCTTATCGTTTTTTGATGACGTCAACTCCCTAGATTGTTATACAGACTACCTTTCTATTTTTAGATGATGATCTCATCATTTTAATCCTCTGAGCTATTGTGACGTCACTCCACCACCTCCACCACTGCGTAGAACCCCTCGTCTATTACTACTCTAGATTCTCGAGAGGTAAATAATGAACTTTATTTTCGGATCAGGGAAGGGGTTGAAGAGAAGGAGGGTGCCAGCATTGATCAATCCATCATTTTGGACTACCTCTCTCCATCTTGATGAGGGAAACGAAAATCTCCGGCTATAAAGGCAGCCTTTCCTTCGCTACGCTCAACACTCAAAGGGAAATTTTGTATCTCCGCGCAGCCATGTAATATCCTCTATATATTGTACAATAATTAATGCTAAAATATATTTATCGATTTATCTTTTGTAGCAGATTTTGTTATTGCTATCATTAGTTTTTAACTTTATTTCGTTTTATTTACGGTAGTAAAAAAATAAAATACTCATATTCCTTGCGATTCGACTCGATTTTGATTATTGTCTTTCGATTTCGATTATTTCGATTCGATTACGTAAATGTTTTGTAATTCTTATAACATAATGCGTAATGTAAACAGCATGCAACCCTAAATCCTCAATATAAGAATAGTAAGAGAGACAGGAGGATTCACAGTCGCTTGGTTCGTCGCCATGTTTGAGAACCTGACAAAGAGTGTGTTGCATATGGTCAATTGCCTTATTTGGAAATTCTCAAGGGGAGGTTGAAGGACAGCATTTTTACCAGGCAACTCAAAATGGCGCACGAACTGCTATCGTCTTTGCTCGTCAATCAAAAACGCACATTAAAGAGTTCTGGATTCTTATTTTAGAATATAATAACTCACTGAGGGCACCCTGGAAAAGGTGTGCAAAAACTGAACCAAAATCGAAATGCGGAAGCAAAGAATCCTGAATTGAACTGAACGGTCATAATCACGATTAATCGAGAATTTGATTAATAGTTACACTACTAATTTTCTTTAGCTAGATGTCCGGCATGATGACACCCCTATTGCAAGACTAAAAATGTTTGAATAAAGGTCGAATAAAGTATATAGTTCAGTTAAAACACAATGATTCAATGACCACGCTACTACATCTCATTCAAACTCCAGGTCTGTCGTCTCAATGTAACTTTATTGGGACACACAAATGTAAAAGAAAGGGAAAAGGCTTAACCCTTTTTTAACAGGAGTCAGTTCAATGACAACATGCCCATTCAATAATCTCAGTAGCCCATGTACAGCAATTTTTTCTGAGGGGAAGGGGCAACTGTACACATGCTTTTATCGCAGTATTAGTTCAAAAAACACATCAACCCAATTTCCATTGTCCAAAATAAAGGAATTATAGGAGCAAAGTATTTTATTACTTTGGGCAAGACAGCTAGATCGAGTCTAAGTTGGATTAGGGGTGCAGGTTTTCTCTTTTGCTGACAATAGTTCAATGAACTGACCACATCTCACATAACGAGCCGCACCGTCTTAGCAACCAAAAAAATTTTGTTTATCTTGCTGAGATAGGGGACTAAAAGTCCCCTATCTCAGCTGGATACTCAGAAGCTTGTAACATTCACTATTCCATTTATCTCTGATCATATTTCGCATCTAATACGATAGAGGCGTCAATTTTCGCGCCATCATGTCATCATTCTAGGGCGAGAAATTTAATTAAAAGCGCGGCATTCAACAAATGTACGGCTCAGGTTTCGGCTAAAATTATTCAGTGGCGTCAGAGAAAAAAACATATTATTAAGGTCTGCGTATAAAGTCGATCACATTACTAACACAGACAAAAACGCTTAAATATCTCCTACAAAATGAACGGCTGAGTTTTCTACGGGTCAAACTGCTACTATATATCCCAGAAGCGCTCAGGCATAATAGTATGCCAGGACTTCTACCTGGATGAACCAGAAAGGATATAGAACAACTGCCAATTTTTTTTTTTTTTACGGCTACGGGTCGAAATGCTAAACGTGTTATATATCCTAGAAGCGCTCAGGCATAATAATATGCCAGGACTTCTACCTGGATGAACCAGAAAGGATATAGAACAACTGCCTAATTTTTTTTACGGCTACGGGTTGAAATGCTAAGCGTGTTATATATCCTAGAAGCGCTCAGGCATAATAATATGCCAGGACTTCTACCTGGATGAACCAGAAAGGATATAGAACAACTGCCAATTTTTTTTTTACGGCTACGGGTCGAAATGCTAAACGTGTTATATATCCTAGAAGCGCTCAGGCATAATAATATCATGCCAGGACTTCTACCTGGATGAACCAGAAAGGATATAGAACAACTACCTAATTTTTTTTCACGGCTACGGGTCGAAATGCTAAACGTGTTATATATCCTAGAAGCGCTCAGGCATAATAATATCATGCCAGGACTTCTACCTGGATGAACCAGAAAGGATATAGAACAACTACCTAATTTTTTTTTTTACGGCTACGGGTTGAAATGCTAAACGTGTTATATATCCTAGGAGCGCTCAGGCATAATAATATGCCAGGACTTCTACCTGGATGAACCAGAAAGGATATAGAACAACTACCTAATTTTTTTTTTTTTTTACGGCTACGGGTTGAAATGCTAAACGTGTTATATATCCTAGAAGCGCTCAGGCATAATAATATTCCAGGACTTCTACCTGGATGAACCAGAAAGGATATAGAACAACTACCTAATTTTTTTTTTTACGGCTACGGGTTGAAATGCTAAACGTGTTATATATCCTAGAAGCGCTCAGGCATAATAATATCAGCCAGGACTTCTACCTGGATGAACCAGAAAGGATATAGAACAACTACCTAATTTTTTTTTTTTACGGCTTCGGGTTGAAATGCTAAACGTGTTATATATCCTAGAAGCGCTCAGGCATAATTATATCATGCCAGGACTTCTACCTGGATGAACCAGAAAGGATATAGAACAACTACCTATTTTTTTTTTTTACGGCTACGGGTTGAAATGCTAAACGTGTTATATATCCTAGAAGCGCTCAGGCATAATTATATCATGCCAGGACTTCTACCTGGATGAACCAGAAAGGATATAGAACAACTACCTAATTTTTT